CAAAAAATGCAGAAACATGTAGAAACATGACAAGAAAAGTGCAGAAACATGGAGAATCTGAGGAGAGTTGGAAGAGTTAGAGTTTTTGAAAATATTAGAGGAAAAACAGGAAAGGTCGTGAGATCACTGAGATGATGAGTTGTGGGGTGGGACATTAGGAGTCTAGGATTTTTTTGGCTTCTTAAAGATGGTGAGCCGAGAGAAGTAACCAATTAGGTAAAATTAGCTATTTATTACGGATTTAGGTGAGATTGAGATTTGAAAATTAGGAAATAAAATATATAAATAATAAATTAAAAAATATTTACTTTTCATATAGGTAAACGGGTCAAGCCCGTTAACCCGTTGGGTCAACCCGTTATTGACCTATTACCCGTCGGGTTCTGTTAACCAGTTATTAACGGGTCACGGGTCATGAACATCTGACCCTAATCCGTTTTAACCGGGTTGGTAACAAGCGGGTTAACGGGTTGGGTAAAAAATTGCCAGGTCTACCTACTATATATGTATATAGGGTTAACACTTGTCCGTCTTACATCGTAAAAATTAAGAGAAAATTATTCTAAAATTATGTTGTCTTAATAAAATATCATTAAAAAAAACTAAAAATAGTCTAATTTATACTTTACAAAAAGAGTATTTTAGCATTTTTAAAATAAAATTTTATTAAAATAATATAATTTTAGAGTTATTTTTCTCATAATATTTTGATGGAGATATATAATAAAATTTTGATTAGCTATATATATATATATATGGTATTATAATTGATTCATCTAGGCCGCTTGGTCCGCTCAGCCTATTCCAAACACTTTAGGCCCACATTAACCCAACCGTTTAGCCCATCTTCTTTCCGTTTTTGCTTTGTATAAATATCTCATTATAAACAAGAATTTTCTATGAAAGTCTGGACTAAATAACAGTTTCTCAATAAAAAAAAATATCCCTTCCTCTCCCAGCCTCATCCGCTACCCACTACTGATCCATTTTCCTTTTCCCATCCTCAATTCCACTATCTCCTTTGCCTTTCCAGCACCGATCATCGCCTTGAATTTTATTGGCTCTTAGCAGAGAATTTCCAGGGTTTGAAACGAAATAGACTTCTACTTTTTCTAGAGGAGTGTTAGTAGTATTTTTTCTAACACTCCCTATATTAATGATTCACATAGCATAATTAATGATTGATATTAAAGTTAATATTTTTAAAATCTAAAATTTGATCAATCACATTACAATTATATGCTACATGGCCAATAACATAGAGAATTTTCAAAGAAGAGTATTTCTAAGAGTATACCTAACATCAGTGGTGGAGCCACTTGTAGATCAGGGGCGGTGGCCCCTAGGATTTGAAAAAAAAATTAATATATATAATTAATTTATTAATTATTATTACTAAAATTTTAAATATTTTATTTTTAATTGTTAAAACATGTAAAATAAAAAAAATTCAATAATAATGGGCTATTTTAGGAGTTCAAATATAATTCATATTATCTTTCAAGTTAGAATGTTTATGAGTTTGAATTACCCCTTATACTTCACTTTTTAATAAATATTACTTTTTGCTGTTAAAAAAAATTCATATTATCTATTATTCATTTTAACAATTTAATTATCTATTATTATTTAAATAATTCATCTCGAAGCCCACAATTATTTACAAAACTCTTTAAAAAAAGAAAAAACGAAAAAGAGATTCTCGTGTCTTCTACCTTGTCTCTCCAGTGCCTCGTTCCATTCCCAATCTCTTTCAACCTCAAGTATTCAACAACTCCAAAAAAAAAAAAAGACTCTATAATTGTTCGTCTCGTTCGTCAGTGCCATTGTGGCACTATTTCACTACTCTCTTGTCATTGAAACCTGAAAGCTTGAAGGCAGAGGAACCACCAAAAGGGGCCACCAACTATTAAAAAGGTGAAGATAATACTATCTCTTTTATATGAATCTTGGGTTTCAAATTTTGAAGTTTTGTAAATTTTTTAATTTTATTTTAAAATTTTGTCTTATACTTGTTAATAAATATGTTCTAACAACAAAAATTAGTATACTCTCCCTATTCTAAAATAATAGATGTTTTTTATTTAAAATTTGTCCCAAAATAATAGTGGTTTTTTTCTTAATTTAAGGAAGACAAATAGTTTTTTTCTACTTCAATCCTATGATTATTTCTTAACTTTAATTATTTATATTATAATTGAAGTAGATATTTATTTTTAGTTATTTTTTAAGTATAAAATAGGTAAAAATAAAAATTGCTTCCAAATCCTTAATTTGAAGATAAAACAAAAAATCTATTATTTTAATATGGAGAGAGTAATATTTAAGTAATAAAACTCATTGATTTTTTATTATCACAAAAAATTGTATCATTGATATTATTACTGTTGAGCATCATTATTGAATAGATATTTTCAATGCTGTAATAGATTCTCAATTGCAAGAATTGAATTTTAGATTTAATGAGAATGCAATTGAACTATTGACTTTTAGTGGTGCTTTAGATCCTAAAAACGGGTGCAAGAGTTTCAATATTGATCATATTTGTGAGCTTGTAGAAAAATACTATCCTCAGGATTTTTCAAAGATGAAGAAACTTCATTTGAAGTCAAAGTTTCAACATTATGAGATGGAAACAAGTTGTGATCAAGGTTTTCAAAATTTGTCAAATATTTCTGAGTTATGTTATTAGCTTGTGAAAACGAAGAAAATCAGAGGTCTATAGTCTCATTTACAAGTTAGTTATTTTAATACTTACTCTTCTAGTTTCTACGGCAACAACAGAAAGAGTATTTTCTATCATGAAAATTATGAAAATAAGATTTAGCAGCAAAATGGAGGGTGAATTCCTTTCAAATTCTTTAATTGTTTATATTGAAAAGAAAATAGTTCAGACATTTAATGTAAACTCTATTATAGATAGATTTCGTGTGATATGAAGACTTGCCGAGTATTATTTTAATTTATAATATAAAAGTAAGCTTTTGAAATTATAATGTATTATTTTAAGATTTGAAAATCTGACTTCCCCTGACTAAAATTCCTGGCTCTGCCACTACCTAACATCGTTACAGATGGATCAAGGAATGGGTAAAACTTTTCTCATGATAATTGATGATTTCCAGACAGTTGGGCACATGGATGTTAATTTTCTTATGGAAAATGATTTTTGTACAACCTTTTTGTCTTATTTTTTTGTACAACCTGTCGTGTCATTAAAATGATTGGTTCTTTTAATTTATGTGAGATTTATGATATTAAATATATTTATTTATTTAATGACATGTGGTATAAAAAAATTATCCTTATAACACTACTTTTTTCTTATTAAAGATTGA